ACATTAACCCGAAACCAAAGCAATAGCCCTTAACTCAATGGCTACCCATGGTATAAAGGCAACGAGGGATAAAATTGTCAGATTTCATACTTGATATAAGTATTATTATTAAGGAAACAAACAAATTTGATGTTATGAGTTTGAAGAAATGAGAGAGAGAGAGAGAGAGAGAGAGAGAGCGCGCACATGCATATAACCTTATATTTTTGCTACGCTCACTGGGAAAGAAAAGAGGTTATTTTTTCTGTCCCCAACTCAGCTGCTTAATAATCCCGAAGGGATACTGTCTACTGGATAAGATAATAGGAAATGGTTTCCCAAGGAAACATCTCCACCTGGTAATTAATTTGGGAGCTAAGAAACAGTGAACATGATGGAAGATATTAATATTTTCTAGTTAACACATTAATATTAGTGTTCTCTTATTCCTGTATTTAATTCATTCTGACTATAATTTGCTGGCTCAATATTCTATACTTAAAATTACTGTTGGTGTTGCATTAAGCTGCATGATCCTGTGACAGACAGCATTGATAAAGTTTCTGTTCTCTTTTTATTTATCCCTTGTTATTATATTCCATTACTCAAAACTTTGTTTTAAAAAACAGTTCTGAGAAAAATAACATTTGATATAATTGAGTAGTTGGCAAATATCACATGATCTATGGAAGGGGACAGTTATGGAGACGTGCTATTAAAGTAAATATCTTGTATTTGTAGAAACATTTGTGTGGGAGAAGGAGAATCAGAGAAAGAGAGATAACAGGAAGGCATATTATAATATTTTAATTGAAACAAGAGGGTTATGATACTAAATTAAAATGAACGCTAATTTATGAACGAGAGTTTCAGATTGCTCAGGAAATGACCTTTCTTAATTTTCAATATGTTACTATGTTTAAACATCTTAATTGCTCTGTTAATTAGATTTGATTCTCATAAAACGTACTGTTCTGTGGAGGTGTTTCATTTTATTTCTTTCTAGGAATATATAAATTTGAAGTCATTAATATCCCTGGCCTCTAATATCTCGTTACTTGGAAGTAGTAAGTTGTCCAAGAAGACTTGGAATAGCAGCTTATGTATCATCTAGAAACTTATTAGAAAGCAGGGTTTCAGGTCCTATATCAGAGGAACTGGATGAGAATCTGTTTACATCCAGATCCTCAGGAAATCTGTATATACATCTAAATTTGAGGACACAGTCCAAACACACTTCTATATGTTTATATATGTACATAATGATCTATATCCACATATCCTTCCTTTTCAAGGATTTTGCAAATTACCTAATGCAATATGCTTAAAATGTGCTGTCCTGACTGCCTTGAAGCCCTGGTAGAGACTAGTCTGTCCTGAGTAGTTAACTAATCTTACTGTCTAACTCCATCATGTTATCATCCACCTGGGCCACTGTGTCCTCATCCATCCTAATCATCCTGGGTCCAGTTACCAATACCTAAAGGGACTATAGCCTATGCCCTGTAAGCTTGCTAGTTATTAAAAATATCTGATCCTCAGGAAGCTGAAGGACCCTAGTTCACCCCAATCTGCTTATCATACCTATAATAATGTCTGATTCTAGTTTATTGTTACTTTGCCCTCAAGTACAATTCAGGACCTCAGTGTGGTCCTAAATTACAGCTTGCTGTGCTTCTGGAAATGTGAATATAACAAGCCAAGTTCTTTTCCTGGGATCCCTAACTCTTCTTTCTCACAATATATTTGATTTACAGATCATGAATTTAATAGAACACTTTATTACTGTGGTAAAGATAAATTCATTAAAATAACAATACTTTCTAAGGACACAACACAGTAGAGATTAACACATTTACCGTGAACAGAGTTGTGAAGCAAAGTTAGGACCCTGATGACTGGCATGTGTATAACTGGGATGCTAGGTTTTATCATCAAAATATGGTTCAAGTAGTTACTTATGATGACTATTTTTTGAAAACTTTATTATATTTTGTGTGTGTGCCATCAAGTGGGATCTGACTGGTATAGGAGGATATTGTCCTTCATTCTTCAGCAAAGCATCTGGCAGATTTGAACCATGCACCTCTGGGATTACAGTGCAGCTTCTTGCCACTAACCACCAGAGCTCCCTTATGATGACTATTTCTGCAGACAGATATACTATCAAGAAGAAGCCTAGTAACTTTAACAGTAATATTCACTTTTAACTAACCCAAAATAGATCAAAATACTGCTTGAGTTAACAGATAAACATAATTTATCTTCATCTTTATAGAACAGAAGAGATTGACAAATATGGCTTTGAGAATTGACAGTAAGGGTAGCTTAAAAGTGAGGAAAAACTATGTAATTCTCTAGAAGAAATAGTGATTTTTTTTCTTTTTCAGAAACACTTTAAAGACTGTATAATATTTGTTTTAAACTTGTACTTCAGAAGAGCTCAAATCCACTCATTTATCATGAAAAGATTTGTATAAGAGTAATAAAATTTTTGCATTTATCATTAAAGATTACTAAAATTAAATCCTTGAGTACAATTTTAGGGTGTGGAAACTAGATTACAGAACTGTTTTAAAGAGATAATTAAATTGAGGTCAAAGAAGGTTAAAGCAACAGTAATGGAAAAAAGGAAGTAGTGGCCCTAAGAGTGAATGGACTTCCATTTAATCCTATTTGCTTATTTTAAATAGTCTCAAGATCCAGAAAGAAAATTGCCTTGTGTCTCTATTAAATATTTGGGAATGATATTTAAAGGTCACCATCAGGGATGATGATTTTTTTTTCAGCTAAATTATATCTAAACATTTCCTGATCATCTTTTTAAGTTTTTCATTAAGAATATTAAAAAGGAGAATTGATGCTTTTGAGCTGTGATACTGGAGAAAAGTATTGGATATACAATGGACTGCAAGGAGAACAAATACATTCATCCTGGAGGGGGTCTAATCAGGTTGCTCCTTGGAGGCAAGACTCCTGAGGGTTCATATGACAACCAGTCGTTGGACAGGGACATTATGCTTAGAACGCTAGGAGAACAGAGAAATAGAGGAAGACCCTCTATGAGATGGATTGACTCAGTAACTGGAGTATTGAAGGCAGGTGTGTCAGAGAAAAGAAGGCTGGCACAGGATAGAGTAGGTTTCAGGGCTATTGTACATAGGGTTGCTATGAGTCACAAGTGACTCGACGGCACATAACAACAATATGTAAAAAATGAACTTTTCTGTAAATTATGCTTTCTTTTCTTATGTTTATCTTAAGTGTTATATGTTGAATTGTAAACTAATAGTGTACATGACACATCTCATGAAATGTTTTTGTCCTATTGAAGTGCTGTTGTTGGTTTTTGGGGGGTTTTGTTGTTGTTTTTTGGGGTTTGTTTTGTTGTGTGTTTTTTTTCAAGTGGCCTTTCCATCTGTAGATGTTTTGTCGAGCTGCAAATAATTCATATACTGATTTTGCATCTCCAATTTGTATGACCTTTAGAAAGTAATTTAAACTCTCTTAGTCTCAGTTTTCTCATCTGGAAAATAGGAATAATCATGTTTTCTTACGTGAGAATGAGCTTACAGAATGTATTACAGAGCAAAATTCGAGCCATTGTTATTAGATTACATCCACTTGGCTATAATGAAAACTTACTCCGTCCTGTGCCATCACACAGTCAATATTACATATAAACCCAATGTATTAACCACATCTTCCTCTTTTTTTTCCTGAGCTCTGGTGTGTAACTCATTATGTGTTGTAATGCTAATCAACAGTGAGAAGTTTGAATCCATCAGCCATTGCATAGGAGAAAGAGGGGCAACTGCTTCCAAAAAGATTTACCGTCTCAGAAACCCAATGTAAGGTTGCAATGACTTGGAATTGACTTGATGGCAGTGGATTTCTAACCCATAGAGGCTTTTAATGAGTGAGGTGGGTTTTGTTAATTTTATTATTTAATATCATCATCATCATCATCATCATCTCTATGCGATTTCCAAAGCTCTCCTACTTTCATCTGAAGATAAGATTTCCAAAACTGTGAGAACCTTTCTGGAAACATATGCTATTGTCATGTGTTGTTTAATTGAAACCCACACAGAACTGATGCTCTCGTGGCTTTTGAGAGGCAAGAAATCTTACTTTCATGAATCAGATCATGAGTTAGAACTGTGAGCCTTTGGGTTAGCAATGCAACTCCTTACACAGCCATCAGAGCTCCCTTAATATCACTTATTTCTAGTATTTAATGGTATATTCACTTGCTAGTCGCTAATATCTCTGCTCTTGTTATGAATTATAAAGTGTTCTTCTTAATTGCTCTTCCTCCATTTTCTTATTTTTATTCTTTTTTTCATTTTTTCTTTTCTTTTTTTTAATTATTAATTTTAATAAACATTTGCAGAGGTTTTGGATTTCTATTCATTCATTGCTGCACTTTTCTCCCTGCTCACTCCTACCTACCAGTTCGCTCCCCTCTCAGAAAAGAAAAAAGAAAGAAAGAAAAAATTCCTTCATTAGTATACAATTCTCCCATCCCTTCCCCCCACCCACCACAGATGTTGAGGTTTCAGAATTTGAGGTCTGTTCCATTGTCACTGTCCCTAAGAGCTCTTACCTATGTCCAGGGCTTCCAATGCCCGCCCCTAACAACTGATCATCAAAACACGCCCATTTTCCTAAAGTCTGGTCTACTTTCTTGACATTAGATGTTTCTAAGCACTCAAATACTATGTCTTAAAACTGAAAGCCCCATACACTAGAAACCTTCTGACTTGGACAATTGAGATGATTGGACACTCTAGTATGGAATTTTTAAATACTTACTACTATAAAATGCACAAAATAAGAAGATTAAAAATTATTGATAACATTTAAAATTGACTTTAAAGTAGTAAAGTAGATTTCATTTTGCTAGTTATGAGGGTGTTCAGTTGTACAAAGTCTGTTTTAGCAGGAATAGAACAAGCAGGAACATTAACACATGCAAAGATATCAATGCCATTAAACAATAACAATGAGATACTTACTTCTGTAAAAATTCTTCAGAGCCACATATACTTAGAAGGTGATCTTTGGGGAACAACTGGTCATTTGCATAAAAATGTAGGATTTCTACAATTAAGTCCTGGACGAGACAATTAGCTAAAAAAATAAGACAGATAATATAATTTAAGAAGTTATTTTATTTTGACTGGAGAAAAGTTGTTTCATATGGAAAAACTTAAGAACATTCTAAACTATTGTAACTATCTAGCTCCATCAAGAGGAATTAAATTGAGATGCATCACACTTGCTAATCTGGTTATGTGGGCTGTGTTTTTTTAAATGAAAATTTTCTTTAATTGAATTTTGTTTCCATAGAATATAATAAAGCTAACAATGTCTTTTTCATGTAAAATCAATACAATGGTGCACATTGGAGAGCTGTATTTCTTTTTTTAAAATTTTTTAAAGTGTGGTTACTATTAGGGACACAGTAATGTTTAACCCATACCAGGCAAAGGATTCAGGATTTTCTTACTCAATTTTAGTTTAAATAAGACTTATACATTCCAAATGTACCTTCATTATAGAAATATTTTTAATTAACTAGGGACCATCATAATAAAAATATTTTTAGTCAACTGGAATATTTTCAGAGTATTAATATTAGTTAAAATCAAATTCATACCACAATATTAAAATGATGCTTTAACGTGGCTTATAATTAATTATTAAAAATCTACTACCAAGACCTAAGGAACTCTTGTGGTATATAGTGCACAGGGTGTATAGTGCTGTTAATCAAAAGGCTGGGCGCCTTTAGTATTTTGGAGAAAACCTATTATCTCCTTGAGAGAAAGAGCAGTCTCCTCCCACTAAGATTTATAGGCTTGGAAACCTGATGAAGGCTCACCTTGAGTCAGAGCTTTTGAGTAGCCAAGACTGGAGCCCCAGTGGTGTATGCCTTGCATTATCAACTGAAAAGTCAGCAATTCTAAGTGTAGGCAATTCCATGGCAGAAAGATGGACCATCTCGTCCCATAAACATTTAGTCTTGGAAATCTAATTGAGGTAGTTGCAAGTTGGAATCAACTCAAACACAGTCAATTTCAGGGAGTGTTTTTTGCTTATTTTACCAAGACCTAGAAATAGTAAAGGGTACTCTGGATTGCAAGGTGATAAGGAGCTGCACTGTCAACCAAAAGGCAGATGATTTGAATTCAGCATCTTCTCTGTGGGGCAGTCTCCTCCTGTGCCATTCAAAGCCTCTGCAAATCCACTGGAGGGATAGCTATGAGTCAGTTCTGATTAAACAACACTCAACAATAATGACAACAGAAGTAGTATTTGGCACTATTTGCCTTTGTTTATTTAGACAAATTATTTTACTTCTGGGACCTACTTTTCTTTTGCATTAAAAGGTGTTCTTAATAGTATGGTTTACATCTTTTGGAAATCTAACCGGAAATTATTATAAGATAAATATGCTCAATATATTGTGTTATTCTTTATTATTGAAAATTATTACTGGGTATGAAAATAATAATCTTGTTTTTTGAGCTGAATCAAGTTGATTCTGACTCATGGTGAACCCAAGAGGTATCCTTGGGTTGGTTTGAACCACTGACTGTGCTTAACCAGATGCACTGCCCAGGACTCCAATAATAATAGAAGTTATATTTTACTGAGTGTTTACTATACAAGGTCTTTAGATGTATTACCATACGTATAAACTCAAAAAAGTCATTGCCATAGATTTGAAACTAAAGTGCTACCTGCCCCTTCTCCTTTAGGAGAAGAAGGTGCAACAGTCTGCTTCCTTAAGATTTGCAGCCTTATTAAGCCTGTGGGAAAATGCTACACTATCCTCTTACGTATCTATGAGTAAGACTTGCCTTAGTGGTAATGAGTTTATATATTTGCTCAGACTTTGAAAGTTATCTTGTGATCCAAGCCAGTGAAATCAAGTGCAGTGTGATGGCCCCAACAATCAAAACTTTGTCCAATATGTTGCAAATATTCAATTGCACTGATCTTAGTGGACTGTTTTCTGTAATTGAGTACTGGCTTATAAAATATAATGTTAATGAGAGTTACTATGACTCAGAATTGTCTGGATGGCATTAGATGGGGTACTCTAAGATGCTTTCTGCTATTCTGAACTGTATTCTATTAACATTTTAAACCCCAATAAAATCTCTCTTTCATACATTCTATTTCTTTAAACTACTTCCTTTCCTTTAGTCTTCCTTTTACTGTCAAACTTCTTCAATGAGTGATAAATTCATTTTGGTGATACCATTTACTCTTTTATCTCTTACAAATGTCTTTCTATGTATAACACTTGAGAAGTCACTAACAGCCTTTAAATTATTAATTCCAAAAATGGATCACTTAAATCTAAAGGTAAATTGCTTGTCAGCAAATGAATGGATAGAAAAACTATGCTATAGTCATGTAATGGGATAATATGTAATACTGAAAAAAATGAACTGGTAAAACATTACACAACATCATGCTGAGTGAAATCTCTCAGTCTCAAAAGGACTGTGATAAGTATGTCTTAGGATAAGAGTGGATAAATAATGACCATTGCATTGGAACAGGTGAAGAAAAGAACTGTTTAAAAGGAATATATGATTAGGCATTATTCATAAAACATCCCAGAACAAGAGGTATATCATTGAAATTAGGACTCAGGGAAGAGAGAGAATTTAAGTAACTATGCAACATGAATGAATATTTTTTAAAAAAAGATGAACTTGGAGAGGGAGGAGGGAAGGAGAGGGGATACAAAAAATAAAGCTAAATGGGAAAAAAGTTGGATTTTAGAGCAAGTTTGGAATTGAGAATAAAAATTTATCAAAAAAGAATTTCTTGTTCTAAGTAGCTGCTCTTCATAAATGACTCAATTTTGTCTCTCTTGGGGAAACAATGTTATCTTTGGGTAAAATTCTTTTATTCATCCTCTCTTTTACTTGCTATATTGCATTAGACTAGCCTTGTGAGGTTACTATAGTTCAAACAACACCTTGACAGTATAGTGGTTAACATACTCAACTGTTAACTGAAAGATTGATTGCTCAAATACACCAACTACTCAGCACATAAGAGAAAAATGTGGCAGTATATTTCGTTATTCGTAAGAACTAATAAATTATTGTTAGGCGCCATAAGTTGTCTATGACTCATAGTGACCCAATGAACAACAGATCTGAATTTGGTTTGCTCAATCCTGCATTGTCCACACTGTCTCTGATATGGCCGTTGTTCCAGTCCCTTTTATTGATGGTGTTCTTTTCTTTCTCTGACTCTTCTTTCTCAGCATGACATATTTTTTAATGACTTATATTTACTGCAGTGTTTTGGTATTATTGCTCAAAGTTGGCCTAATGATAAGAAGTTGTACTATTAACCCTAAGGCATGGGTTTGAATGCAAAAACTGCTGATAAAAGATAAGCAATTGTTTTAAAGTCTCTGAAAACACACTGGTGTGTCCAACTATGAATGCGCTAGTTTTGACTCAAACAAAACAACAACAACAAAATTGCTTTATTGAATCATGTAATAAATGTGAAAATTAAAAAAATAAACAACCCAAAACCACCCACAAACCTTGGTTATGGCTTGGTAAATTCACAAAGCAATATTTTGTTATTCTATGCCATCCAATCAGAAACAACACATACCTAATGCACAAGCAGTTTTCAGTGACTGTAAACTGTACAGGAGAAGTTGCTTCCATGGAGGGGCTGATAGATTAGAACCACCTGTCTTTGGTTTGGCAGTGAATGAAACTCCTTATCACTAGGCCACAGGAACTCCCCAAAGGAATATCTAGAGATATATATTCAAAGATGCAATTTGGAGAAATGTAAGTGGCATCCCTGTCTCTGAATGCAATATACCAAGACCTCTGTCTGGTTCCGTCATAGGTACAAGACACCTGATATGGACTAAGCAATCAGAATTCTTTAAAGATTTGGAATTTGACCTAACTCACACTCATTGCCTTTGAGTGGATTTCATTCTGACTCCAAGTGACCTTCTAACAGCTTTTCCAGCCTGCAAATCACAAGAGGAGGACGCTACCCCTGGTGGATTAAATAACCAGACATGCACATCTTTTTTGTTAGCAGCACAACACCCTATAGACTACACCCTTCAGAGCTCTTTCTTCAATACAGCAGAGAGATTGACTTTGTCTTTAGGTGACTGGTCAAATAGCACAGAAATCTACATATTATAGAGAAGCTGAGTAAGTGAGTCAGCAGAGAGCAAGAGAAGCATGAGAAACAACTATTCAGTGAGAGGGTGAGGTAAAAGACATACTGAAATTTTGAAGAATATGTTCAGTTTTACTTTAAGTACATTCCTAATGTTCTTTCTGAACTCTTAATTCCAAATTCCTTAAGAGTTCACTGTACTCTTAAAATGTTGGGTTTAGGTTGCTTCTTTGTTTGTTTTTATGAACCAGCAGGAGTTTACTTTGTTAGTATCATATAAAATGGCTCTAATGTATTTTATCAGTTAGAAGAGCTTCCAGATTGATTCAGGATGGGAAACACGAGTGGCATCCACATCCTAAACCAGGTAAACATACAGAAATGATGTTAAATTATAGAACAGAGTTCAGGACTTTTGTGCAAGGGTGAATATGAGTTGTACTCGACTTGGAGACTTAACCACTGCTAAATGGGTCTAGTGTTGTTATATCTGAAGGAACACTCTTCCACATTGTACATCACTCCTTGTCAATGTGCTGTATGAAGTAATCTGGGTTTGCTGTGATCCTGAAACTTGTGCCATTGGTATCAAATACCATAATGGTTTCCCAATATGGATAGTGTTGATGCAGCTCCCAATAGTAAAACAGGTTTGGAAGCAGCAGTGGCATCTGCTTCCTAAACCACATACTCCTGGAATCTCTTTGAACTTGGAGAAACTCTGATAGTTATGGAAAGGCAGTATGTCTTTTGTTCATAAAGTTGCAATGAGTCATGCTTCACAGCAATTAACAACAAACAACAATAATGAAATGTATCAAACATATTATCTTACTTGCCTATGTTTGTAGAGTAAGGAAGAAAACTGTAAACCAATAATAGGAATAATAAATGAATAAAAGAAAGAATACATTATTAAGTGTCAGGAAACAATGCTTTGCTATGAAGAAATTCCTCTTAGGTAGGTAAAAATTAAAGAAGAAAACTGGTAAAGAATATCATGTGAACTGACTAAAGTTCTAAGAGAAATACAAGAATGTCCTTTAGCAGTAAGGATAGTAAGATTTTGACTTGCTTATTTTGAACACATCATCAGGAAAGATCAGTTCCTTGATAAAGCCATTAGATTTGGTAAAGCTGAGGTCCAGTGAAAGCTAGGGAACTTCTCAATGAGGTAGACTGATAGAACAGCAAAAATGAGTCTTACATGCCAACAAACAGGAAACTGTTTTAAGTTTCTGTTTCCAGCTTATAATGATCGTCTGTGTAACAGAACAAGACTGTGTCCAGTCCTATGTGTTCTTCCATGACTGTTAAAATGGTTTTGGAAGAGTATGCTGTTAGAACTTCAATGACCTTGAATGCTGTCAGACCTTAGATAAATAATAACCTGGTAAAACTGATAATACAAATTCCTGGGATTCCTTCCAGTGACTCAGAGTCCAGGGGTCTGCTAAGACTGCAAGGCAGCTGGGTGCACTTGCCATAGTGGGAGCAGATGCTCATTGTTCAAGGCCTATTTCAGCTCACACTTTATTTACATTTGAATGAAATTGTTGTTAATGAATATGAACATCCATTTCACATGTATGTGTCATTATTATCTAGAATGTGTTTGAAATTCAGCTTTTTAATATGCTAAATATGGTATATTTGCTATTAAGCATTTCACAGCAGGAATGTAGGTGTCCTGAGGGGGAGTGATGTGAGTAGAGCTCAGAAGCAGTGGTTTCTGCCCTTCTCCCCAGTGTCAACAAAAGGCTTCCAGCTGCTTTCCTTTTTATTTCACTTGAGGGCAAAACAGTAGCTAATAATGTTTTTCCTTTCCTTTTCTTTTCTGCTAATGATTTCATTCTGTGGCCTCAGTGCTGCACAAACCATAATAACTTTATGTAGATTTTCAGAGTTATTTGCAAGTTTGCTCACCATATGGCATAAGATGAAGCGGTTGTGTTGAATTACCATTAAAAATATTTATATTAAATTTAGTGTTGGAAAAGAGCTGATATGGAAATGCTGTAATAATACTCCAGATCCTCCCGGAGTTAGAACGGGTGTCAGCAGCAAGGTATATGGCTCTTATTCTGAAAAATAGATGCAAGGAAAAGATTTAGCACAAAATCTGTAAGAAGCCATTTAAAAAATCACTTCTATAATATAATATTAAGAAATTTCATATAATGTTTTGCACTAAAATATTTAAAATGTGAACATAATGTAATGTCAACTGCTGACCTGTGTATACCTCCTACATGGTAAACTAGACCAGATGGGCAGAGATAACAATTATACTAAGAGTAATCAGGATTGGAGGAAGACTAATCAACAACCTTTGCTAAGCAGATGTTACAGCCTTGCTTGCTAAAATTGCAGAGAATATGAGACTTTTGTTGCAGAAGATCAAGGACTGTGGTCTTCAAAATGTATTGACACTCATTTGAAGATCAATATCATGAAGACAAAGATACTCACCACTAGGCCAATTGGCAGCTTCAAGATAGAACAAGAAAAGACAGAGACCGTTAATAGCTTCATCTTTCTTGGTTCCATAGTCAACACTCTTGGCATCAGCAGTCAGAAGATCAAAAAGCTGTTAAGGACCTCTCTAGAGTACTGAAGAGCAATGTTGTCAGTCTGGAGATTAAGGTGTGCCTGATACAGGCCATGGCCTTCACAATTCCTTGCTATGCATCAGAGAGCTAGACAATAATGGAGGATGCTAGAAGAAGGATTGATGTCTTTGTGTTGTGGTATTGAAAAAGAGTGTTGAACATATCTCCCTGGAGGCAAGGTATATGAAGATCCCTCTCACATACTTTGGGCACATGGCCAGCCAGGAGTGACCAGTTGTTGGAGAAGGATATCATATTTGGAATGGTGGAGGGACACTGCAGGAGAGGAAGATCCAGGATGAGATAGATTGACTCAGTGACTGGAGAAAGGGGATTAAGTATAACAGAGATGATGAGATTGGCTAAGGATAGGGCAGGGTTCAGAGCTAATGTAGATATGTTTGCTATGAATTGCAGGTGACTCAATGGCACTTAACTACAACAAACAACGACAGCAGGCCTTGTCAGGTTACAATTATACTCAGAATAAGAGCAGCAGACCATTCTTTAGACTATCTACTGTACACCTAGTTCGAAACAATAACTACTAGAGCATCAGAGAAAATGAATAAGGAATGTTGTTTTGTAATGTGCCTTTGAGTTGGGACTGACATAAAGCTCAGCTTCCAGGGTTTTTTTTAGAGGCTGTAAATAGAATGTTATGGAAGGATATTGACCTATAGTTATCTATTTTAGTGACTTTGTTATGAAGGATATATTTGCTTCATAAAATGAGTCTGGGATAATTCCATCTTTTTCTATTTTCTGAAATACTTCATGTAGAATTGGTGGCAGTTCTTCTCTGAATGTTTGATAAAATTCACTCATAAAAACATCTGATTCAGGACTTTTTTTGCTTGGAAGTTGCTTTATTACCTTCTCAGTTTCTTCTTTTTTAATAGATCTGTTCAGGTGTTCTATTTCAGTCTGTGTCAGTTTAGGTACGTGGTAAGTGTCTAAGTATTTGTCCATTTCGTCTAGGTTTTCATATTTGCTTATATTTTTTCCATAATATTCCATTGTTCACCTTTTTATTTTAGTTGGTTCTGTTGTGACATATTTCTTCTCTTATTCAGATTATTTTTGTCCTTTTTTTGTTAGTTTTGCAAGTGGTTTTTATTTTTTATTTTATTTATTTTATTGACCTTTTTTGAAGAACCAACTTCTAGTTTTATTGATAGTTTTGTTTTTCTGTTTTCCATTTCATTTATTTCTGCCCTAATTTTTATCATTTCAGTTTTTTTAGGGGGTATCATGTTTTCTTTCTGTTCTTTTTAGTTTTTTTGAGATGTTGAGTTAGAGAGTCAATTACATTTTTTTCCTTGCTTTATCATGTGTTTGCTTATTGCTGTAAATTGACCTTTGATTACTACTTTGGCTGTTTACTAGAGGTTTTGGTAAGTTGTGTTTTCATTGTCATTTGTTTCAAGAAACTTTTTAGTTTCATTTTTTTATTTTGTCTAGTACCCGCAAGTTCAAACAAGGTGTTATTCAGCTTCCAAGTATATAGGGTTTTTTTTCTCCTTTATTCTGTTATTATTAATTTTTAATTTTGTAGCATTGTGTTCTGAGATGATGCTTTGTACTATTTGTTTTTTAATTTATTGATGCTTGCTTTGTAACCTAAAATGTGATCTTTTCTGGAGAACGTTCCATGAACATTGAAGAAGAAGGTGCTTTTTGGGGTGCATTAGCCTATACGTATCTATGAAGTCAAGTTGGTTTATTGTGTGGTTTAATTCTTTAAAATATTTGTTGAGTTCTTTATGGTAGTTCTATTTTTTGAGAGTGGTGTATTTAGCATTATGCTTTTTAAAGAATTATTCACGTGGACCAGAGTGATGAAAGTAACTTGTAAGATTGTATAGAAATCTTTAGAAGCAATGTGCATATGTTATTAGAGGAGGTACAATCTTGAAAAGAAGGATGAGAAAGCCTACACGACTCAAAGAGGGTAATCAGTATTACTGAATTGTCTATATAGAAACTGTTGAACTTGTGCAAGTTTTGTTTTATATATTCTCAATTACAAAACTTTAAAATAGTTAAAATAAGACACAATAAGCCAATTTACATTTTTAGTTGTATTATTCATGTTGCTTTTAATGTTTACTCTCCTCTCTGGTTTACCCTCTGGCTTAACTTTCCCAGACTGGAAGTGATTGAGCATGGTTTCATTAAAGAAATTGGAATTTGGTAAATAAATTTTCTTTTTTCTATTAAGTTAGTAAGCTCCATTCTCGATTCTCTATTTTCTTAAGACATAAAGAACTGGATATATTTAAATAATTTAATCTAGAAGTCACCTATACATTTTGAACAATGAATTGTAAAATAATTTATTCTTGGAGCCAGTAGGTTGGGACATAACTTTTGACTCTTCCACTTAGTAGTTTTGTGGTTAGGGGAAGTTATTTGACCAATTATATGCACAAAATAGATTAATATCTACTTCAAAAGTTTATTGTGAGAATGAACAAAAGACGTACAAAAATTTTGCAGAGTATAAAGCAATAAAATATGCAAGATCATAATTATAACCATATGTTATTAGAAGCAAATCATTTATATACCAGTGTTTCATGGCCATTTGTATAATATCCCCAAATTACTGACAGCTAGGTAACTTTAAGTGAGCTCTTGTGTCTTAGTCTGTAGAGAGCTGCACTGCTAATCCAAAGGTTGCGTTTCTTTAGCAATACAAACCCGCCAACTGCTCTAAGGGAGCCACAGGATATCTCATCCTGCCATAATTTACAGCCTTAGAAATCCAAAAGATGGTCAGATTTGAGTAAGTTTAAAAGAGATAGCAATGAGAGAAAGAGATATTTAAAACACTTTGGTGAGTAGTTACTGTTATTCTTATGTGTGTGTTTTTGTTGTTATGTGCCGTTGAGTCACCTGCAACCCATAGTGACCCTATGGACAACAGCCCTAAACCCAGCTCTATCCTGTGCCAATTTTATTGTCTCTGACACACCTACCCCCATTGCTCTAGTCACTGAATCAATCCATTTCATCGAGGGTCTATCTCTCCTGCATTGTCGTCCACCCTCCCAAGCATGATGTCCCTCTCCAAGGACCGGTCCCTCCTTGCTATACGTCCAAAGTATGTTAGACAAAGCTTTAGAATCCTTGCCTCCAAAGAACAGCCTGGTTTTACCCTCTCCAAGAAATACCTGTTCATTCTCTTAGCAGTCCATGGTATATTCAATACTGTTCACCACCATCACAGCGCGAAGGCATCAATTCTCCTATCATCTCTAATCATTGTCAGCTCTCTGATGCATATTGAGTGATTGCAAAGGTCATGGCCTGTATCAGGCACACCTTAGTCTCCAAACTGACATCATTGCCTGTCAGTAGTTTGGAGAGGTCTCTGACAGCAGACTTTCCCAATGCAATATGTCTTTTAATTCCCTGCCTGCTCATACCAAGAGTGTTGAATGTGGAACCAAACAAACTAAAGCTGTTTACAATCTCAATCTCTTCACCATCCATTATGATGCTGTCAATGAGTCCAGTGGTCATAATCTTTGCTTTCTTGATAATGAGTTTCAATCCATATTGAAGACTGTAGTCCTTGACCTTCTTGCAACAAGCGCTTCAGGTCCTCCTCAGTTTCAGCAAGCAGGGTTGTGTCATCTTCATAACACAGGTTGTTGATGAGTCTACGTCTAATCCTGATGCAACATTTCTCCTCATACAGCCCAGCCTCCCACATAATCCGTTCTGCATATAGATTGAAAAGATATGGAGATTGTACACATCCCTGGCATACACCCTTCCCAATTTTGAACCATGAAGTGTTTCCTTGCTCTGTTCTGTTGATTGCCTCCTGGTCCAAGCATAGGTTTCACATTAGCACAATCAAGTGTTCTAGGATTCCCATTCTTCTCAGAGTCAGCCACAGTTTGTTACAGTCAAGTGCCTTTACGTAATCAGTGAAATAAAGATAGATATTTCTCCAGTACTCCTTGTTGTCAGCAAAGATCCATCTAACATTAGCTATAATCTCCCTTGTACCACAGCCTCTTCTAAACCCAGCCTCTACTTCTGCCAGGTCTCTGTTCCAGTCGTTTTGGACAATCTTTAGTAGAATCTTGCTTACATGTGATATCTACATTTCCTAAGGACATTCCTAATTGGAAAATAATATATTATACATTCAGTTATCTTATGTATTATTGCAGCATTCTTGCCTATTAGCATATGCTGAAGTATAGCTAAGCCAGGGAAGTAGTTCTATATATGTTGTTATTGTTGTTCGGTCCTATAGAAATGACTCCAACTCAAGGCAGCATATGTACAACCTATCAAAAACTGCACCATTCTACATCATCCTTACAATATCTGCTGTCCTTAAGCCTATTGTTGCAGTCACTGTGTCAATCCACCTTGTTAAGGGTAGTTTTCTCTTTTCTGACCTTTTCTTTGCCAAGCATGATGTCCTTTTCCAAGGACTGGCCCCT